ATCCTGATTAAAATCTAGCTTAATCTCTTTCACGAGTCACAAAAATTATTTCCAACCGCTATCTTCTAAAGCTCACAAACTGCTTGTCTAAACAGAAATGGAAACAGGTTGCCTTTGCCTAAAAACACACTGCCGTTGTGCCTCGAAAATATGTAGAAGACTCAAGTCAATGGCAGTAATTTTCTTTCCAATCTCTCCATTCTTTGTAGACACTGTCTGCCTCTTCATTTCTTGGCACATGGTGACCAGACAAAACAAGATGTAAAAAAAAGTCTCTCTTATGGGGAAGTGATGAATAAATGCAGAATCCTCACGCTAGAGCACTTAAGTGTCTCTGCACATGCACAGAATGTGCATGATCATGTTACTAAGCCTATCAAAATAAGCCTATTCAACTGAATAAGAGCTGGCCCCATATAGTGACTGTGCTGCTGTTACTTCTCATAGGCCTATATCAAGTCAGTGACTAGTGAAACAGAAGGGAAGCTGGTTATTGGATTGGGAAAAAAACGAAACTAATGGTGATAGTCCATTAGACCCACTTGAATAACCCTCTGTACTACAAAACCTTTAAACAGAACACACACTCACAGAAGGCACAGAAGAGCTGCAGATGATTTGTTTTATTACATTGTATTAAATTTATTTATCTGACACTTTTATCCACAGTGACTAACAATAAGTGCATTCAACCATGTGGAAACAATCCAAAAAATGCAAGAATCATACAAGTACATCAACTTCATCTAAGGCCTAAATGCTTCAAGTGCTACATTCATCATCACATCCGTAGTCTTCAGACTACAAATGTGAATTAGCATTCTTGCTAAGCTCTGGCGTGTTTACATCTTGTATTTTCGTACTGATGTTCATTTACATGCTTTGTCCTTATCAAATAAAGGAAATAAAGCAAAGTAATTATTATTATACATTTTTATGGGCTGTCTGCGACGGAAGATGTGTAGAGTTTCTGCTGTCCTGATGTCAGTGGAGAGATGTCAAGATTTTGTGCGCCGCCTCCTGGGTGAAGAACTGACGTTTCCTCCTAATGTTGAGGAGATGAATCTTGGATAAAGTGCAGGACAGTAGGTCACACCCAGGTTCCTGGCAGTCTGAGCCAGGGAGGCCACAGAGTCCTAAATGATAATGGAGAGTTTGTTTACAGGACATGCCTTCCCTGGAAGGAGGAGCAATTCAGTTGGGTCGATGTTGGACTTCAGGTGGTGAGAAACCATCCACGGAGAGATAACACACAGAGATGTGTGCTGCCACCTGGGTTTCAGACCAGGGAAAAGAAATAAGTGAGTGTCATCATCATAGCTGTGGTAGGAAAAGCCATGCAAGTGAATAACAGATCCAAGAGGGGGTGAGCCAGAACAGAACCCCGAACGCAGTGAGACCCCAGTAGTAAAGGTACAAGATTCAGACTAGAGATGAGCACCAAAACCCATTTTAAATGGGCCCCAGGGCAAAAGTATTAAACACTGTAGTATTGATAAACCTCAACATTACCTGTTCTTTTATCTTTACTTTTAAACGTTTTGGTGTGATTTATTATCACGCTGCAGCCTCTCCCCTGTTCTCTGTGTTGGGGCTGAGCTTCTCCACATACATAAACACACACACACACACAGAAAGCAAAATCAGCGAACAGCAGATCAGAGAGGCCACGGTGGAGACAGTGAAATGACTAGGTGAAGTGAAGTTGACTACAACTACAATTGTTACTGTAAGTGCAGTAAAACCTTAGCGAGTAATACCTGTTCAACAAGCATAAACATGTAAACATGTCGAAAGTATTATTTTAATCTGCTTTGTCTGCAGTCTCTCATCCACTGCCGCTATGTTTTACACAAGCATAGCGCTGTAGCTTGGCTAATAGCGAATTGCTGCAAACAAGGTAAAAGGAAAGCTGTCTGTAAGAAGTCTAACTGTTTAGCTTAGTTTGCCAAGTTTTTTAAAATGTGGGAAATTCTTGTAAACGTAGCTGCTGGCTGAGACAACCCAGCCCTTCCTCCCTCTACAAGCAGTACCTGCAGGCAGTGAATCACACCAGCAGCAGTGTGGCACTTTGTGTCGGAATAATCTGAACAATGAGTTCCCAATCAAATTTCATGGCTTACCAGATCCATTTTATTTGCTCTTCCTTATCAACCTGTTGTTTACATCACAAGGTGCGGAATCGTCTAGCATAGACGTAAATCCAAGGATACCACTGATTAATGGGCTCTGTCTGTGTTCATAGAACAATAAGTAACCATCATATTATTTTGTTAAAGCTTCGCCCTCAAGCAGAGCTCTAAAGGCTGAGAAAGTAAAGAGCAAAACTTTATGAGACAATGACAGGAAGGCTTAAGTGTCACACAGTCATAGCAGACCTGCATCTGTTTTGAGAGCAAATAGGCAGAAATTCCTCCCTCCAGACACCAGCCTGCCTGACAATCACTGTACAGGATGTCCGCCAGAATAAATGTTACATACTGCCTATTCTTGTTGCCAGAAGGTGGTGGGTGATCCATCCAACACAAAGCGGGTGTTAGTGTACTGGAGTGTAAGACACAGGGTTTTTCACACATAGGTCTATTTCCAGTGGTATATAGGAATAAGGAGGATAGGGCATTTGCAGAAGTGGATTTTCACATTGTAATATAATTCAAAACTATTAAATGTTCACGCATCCGATAAAAAGAAACCTAAGTATGCCATCATCTGTACGGTTTTTGTTAAAATCATTATGCATAAGGCATTTTTTTTGTGAAACAAGGCACTGTAGTAATTGATGTACTATGAAATATTAGCACGGATAATCCTCTCTTCTTAAAAGTACGGCTCAGGTCAAATTGGACTTGTCAGTTCCTCAACACTTAATATGATTAGAGGACCAAGGACAGGCCAAATGTAGCTGGATATGCGCTTTGAGCCTGTAACAGAAACTTTCAGTTTGTCTAATTGTGGAAAATGTAATTGTATTTGTCAAGCATTATATCCAATGATTTACATCACTGAGCTCTTATGGAAAGTTGTTCATTTAAATTAATGCAAATAGTTTTAAATATATATATGGTTTACTGTGAGGTGAATATTTATTACAGGACTATTGTGTTGTACTGAATTGTATTGTATGCAGCGCACTTTTAGTCTCAACCCACTCTTGATCCTAATTCATAAAGTTTCTAAATTTAGGAATTTGATTGGTTTGATTGTCTAGAGCCTGAAAATGGCTTCATGTGAAAATCATAATGTACTTTCTTGAAGAAGGATCGTCTCTAAAGGGGCCCTGTGGAGTTTTCTCATAAACAAACAAATGCATGTTTGCATTCAAACGTTCTCACCAGAATACATTGTGTATATCAATTATGCCTAACAAGCATGTTGAATGCTATTCTTCCCTCATAAAACATTTGCAAAGCTGATTGAAAAAAATAGATTTCTTGTTTACATCTATTTTGGGCTACCATTCTTTTTTTCCCCTGGCATTTGATTCAGTTGAGTACAGCTTCTTGCTAACCACTGAACAGTGGTAGGAATCAAACTACTGGCTTTTGGGTACCGTACAGCATAACCACTGACCCATCCTGTAGCCTTGCCATTGTCCACCATTGACCATTTCCTAATTCCGTTTCCCATTGCATACCTGTCCAAAAAATATGATGTGGGTGGATAGCTTTGTTTTTGTCACTTTGCCATCTCTTCTATTAAAATCAATCTTCTATTCAGACTCAATTTTCCTTTATTGTATTGATTAGCTCTCTTGTGCAGGGTGGCAGACTGTTGGGGGGGGGGTCACACTTTATCTCAGTCCACATCCGAGAGCTGACATCCTCCTGCTGTCTGCACCAAAGATATCACCACCTTCCAAGAAATATAAGCACATGCATTACGGTGATTGTGTGATGAAGGCACGCCTGGCAGTAGTGCTAACCCATGTCATGCCAAAAACAACATATGTTTCTATGGTATTTATGGAGTCTCCTCTCAGGAGGCTCCGACAGTGTTACACAAGGCAGAACGGTACAGTTCACCGCCTCTGCTCCAAATCAGGAGCATTCTCAGTGCAGCACTTCTCCCCACACCTCCACTTTAATATTCTGTGGAAATGTTGCTGTCTGCCTGACTTATTATTGTGCTTTGTAATCATAGCAACTACTGTGTCTCTCAGAGGCATTGTCGAATGAATTTGAATGAGAGAAATCTCTTTGCAATTTCACTGAAACCCTGTTCCCAGTGAAGGAGCACAAGAAGAGGGTTCTGACTAAAAAAAGGAAAGACAGCCGAAATAGTTATCATCTTCACTGTAACACTAACACCGTGATGTAGACTGCAAATCCAAATGGGAGTTATGCCATCGTTGTGGGTGGGGGCTTCTGTCCCACAGAGAGAAATATTTGAAAATCCTGGGCAACTGAAAGCCGCTTTTCCAGAACAAACGAATAAGCGATTACAGTACTGTAATGCTGTAATATTCTACTTGAGGGCAGATTTGGTGGTTACTAGTGATGATGGATTCACATGTTTTAGGCACTAGGCTGGCTAACAGGCTCATTCCCACTGTTAAATTATTAAAGCCCATAGGTTCAAGAACATCCACGTTTTTGCACTCGTCATGTTTTATTTCATAGTAGTCATCTGGAGAGAATTAATTATTTACAGCGCCAGGTCCCAAGACATTTTTGAATTAGTTAGTTTTGTTGCTTTGTTGATGATTGGTTGACCTTCTCTCGTTCTATTGCCAGAGGTTTTACTGGCTACAGAGTAAAACTGTATACATAAAGCACCATACCAGCCTATATCTGCTTGTTGCTTTACTATAGGGTGCGATCTGGCATTATTTTTCATCATTGCAAAATAAATTTGAAATGAATTGTGCAATGTCGTAGGTATCTTCAGTGTGTTTGTTTACCCATTAGATTGTCAGCAATCTTTCAGTCTGCTTTTGTCGAGTTTATCTACTGTAGTATTTGCCTCCTCCTGACTGGATTTTCCCTTTCTATCCTACACAGATCTACTGACTATGGCTCCACATACGAGAGAATGAATGACAAAGTAGGATCCAAGACTGTCCTGAGTTACCTATATGTCTGTCCAACCAACAAGAGAAAGGTGAGCTGCTGCAAGTAATTCACCAAATGATTCACCATCTCAATTATAAAAGCTGTGTTTTCCTGTTCACAATGTTCATGTACTGCCAATTCTTAATGTATAAACAAATAGCATTTACCTTTACTGCAGAGAATAAGGCCCTTTTTGAAAAGTTTGGTTTATAAAAAAGAATGACATTTGTTGATATTGTCCCCTGGTTACTTGTGTATTTGATCATATTTCATTAAGGAGCCTCCTTTTTCTGATCTGTTTAAGTTTGTTGTTGGTGCTTTAAATTCAAAACTTGTTACCCATGTTTACTTATTGTCTTGATCAATTGCACACCACTAATTCCAGTGCAACAAAGGAGTCATGTTGTACTCTCCACTTTGCTGCGCTGAATGTTTCTTCTGTAATAGAAATGTTGTTATAAATCCATTTATTATTTTGATGGCAAATGGCATAATCCCTCCAGTTTTTGGAAGTCTTTTCACTTGATGTGTAAAGATAGTGTGTGCACTTCCCGACATAATATCAGGTGAGCAGGGAAAAAGGCAAAATCGATCTCAGGAAGAAGGGCACCTGCACACTGAATAGATGCTCCCCAAATGCAATTTGTGACTTTTTACTTTTAAAAATGTTACTACGAGCTACAGTACATCACTGTAGATTATCTTTCTTTTAAGTTAAGCATGTGATCAGACTCCAGTGATTGCTATGGAAGTGATATCTCCATGTTGTTCCATGTTGTAAATGTCGTAAATAATTTTATGTCTACATATTGATGTAATTGGTTGCTTGACCTGGGATTAACGCCTGGCTGAATCAGGTGAAGTAAATGGACCATCTTGGACACATATTACCTGATAAAGATGCAATGGCGTAACATTGTGATTGTGCTTAACAAATTGTCTTTGTGCCCATTCTTTATAGTGAATGTGCACCCTTTTTCTTGAGGCCTTTAATTTGAAATATCTACAGCAAGTCTCAAGTTTCATGATAGTAGCTTAGCAATTAAAGAAATAGGAAAATAGAAGATTGGACTTACTTAGTGAATCAAAATAGTATTTCTAACAAACTCTGAGCAGCAGATTGGTGAGTATGATGTGACTCTTTTGTTCCACAGATTATGCTGAATTTACAATGTGAGCTATAACAATCCACACCTTCTCAATTATTTTTACCAGACTTCTATTACCTAGTCTTTATTTGAAAACCATTAACCGCAACCGTTTTGGAGAATTTACATTATATAAAATTTATCTGTGGACACAAAGAACATTTTGTTAATTTATGTCATTGCATTGTTACGCAAAACATTTTGTGAATAAAATGACAGTTTAACGAGGGAAACGATCCAGATTTGACTTCTTCCTGTATGAGGATGTTTCTGGCAACCAGCTAGAGTGGAATTTTAACAACTTCAGACCACACAAAAGAAAGAAAGAAAAAGGGTATGAGCAGCCAGCTGCCAACCATCTGCCAATGTCTTTAATATGCCTGAGAGTTCTGTCAATTTCTTTTCCTTTCGTTTTTTTTCTGACATTCTAAGAATTTAGTTCACTGATCAGTGGATAGTTTGCACTTCATTTTCTACCATCTGCCTCAGTTTTCCGTTTTAATTTCATTCAATGAAAAAAATGTTAAAGAACCTTCCTAACCTTCCTGTTATTAAAAATTCCCATGCTGCTTTCACATTAGCTGAATTGAATTGCGCAGGAAATGGATCCCCTAAAAGACTGTGCTCATTCCTGCATCCCCTGCATGTATAGGAAACAAAGCCCTACGCTTTTCTATACTGTGATTCACAATTCACAGTCAGTAAATCTGATTTGCCCTTGTGTGGTGAACTCCACCCGTCTAGTTCTCCGAGCTACAATCTGATAGACAAGTGCAATCGTAGCCAAAAGGTCAGAGTGCTGTAAGCAGCTCAGTTACAGTAGGAGTCTCCATATACACTGGGGTGTCTATTTATATATCTGTGTGTTTCAAGTCAACTTTTTGTATCTTTAAAAATAACAGTATTATATAGAAAGTACAAACATACTAATTACAACAGATTGCATGCGTATGGAGGAGATGGAGTTACACAGCGTTTAAGTGATCTGTTCCTCTGGTAACGCAGAGCTGGAGACATTAACATTATAGTTTTGCAGAGAACTTGACATGATAATTACAGGCAGTTAGTTGCAATAACAAGTCATTCTTTGAATATTTTTTCTATTTCAACCACAAAACAGTATGCCTGAGTCAGTGTCTACACGACGTAAGCAAATTGGCAATCAACTGGGAACCAATAACTACAAAATCAACACGTTTTTCTCTGAACATTGTCTTAAAAATATATAATTGTTTTGAATGATTGCTTCTACACCCTTACTGTGACCAGTACTGTAGCATATGTTGGCTAATGTTAACTAACCTAAGATTGATGTTGCTGTGTAACAGACATGTCTTATTCACACACCTTTACCAGTGCTACTGTTACAGTGTATTTTAGTAACAGGTGCGATTTCATTGTTTTTTATCTAAGAGGTGAAACACAAATATATTTGCTTGTAGTTCCATTCCATAAGGTATAAAGTCAGGTTGTTTATGATGTCTTAACTTAATTTGAAGTTGTACTTCTGGCTTCCTAGCTACTGTGAGTGCAATTTTTACTTTTTAATAGCTGCTTTAACTACCCCTTATGGCCAAAGATGTCATAGTTACTTGCTAGTCTTGCTTTCAAACTTAAAGTCATGATTGAGTGATAACGCCTGCAGGTTAGACTACATTAATTGACCCAAAATGGGAAACACTAATAATAATAACAACAATAATAATAATAATAACAATAATAATAATAATAACCCCCACCCCACCCTCGTCTATGAACCATAGGACATCAATGATACTGATGTGAAAAAGATGTCATGGCCACCCACTAATAAAGTTGAGAATGTTCTGCTATATTACAGGTATTGCGAAACGTGTGCAAAACATGTCATTTTCAAAGATGACATGTTTTGCACACGTTTTGCAATACCTGTCATCTTTGAAAATATCATTTTTCATTTTATTTAGTTTGAACTGCATGGTTAGTCAAATGTTGAATAAATAAAAATCATTTTGGCATCAAACGACTTACAGAAAATAAAGCATGACTCCCGTGTGTGAAGAGGATGTGGTCATAGTTGTGGAGGTGCTCGGGTTCATCAGCCTCACTTTCCAAGGCCGAGCCAATGTACTGACCCTGAATACATTTGCATGGCAAGGGAGATAATAGGATCCTGGGACTGTTGAGCTAAACCACGTCAGGCCGAGGAACAGATCATAGCTGATTTCTCTCCATGACTCACTCTTCCCTCACTCTTCCTGCCTATTTTATGTGGAGAAGGTTTTATTCCACATCAAGGGCATAGCAGGGATGTAGTCCTTAAGGTCCTCTTTGTGGCTGATGTGACGTGCATTTCTAGTTATATAAGATTAGATAAACTTTATTACCACCTCAGGAAGAAGAAAGAGAATTCACACACGTACCACATAATATACAGGACATAAATAACACCTAGGAAATCAGTTTCACCACACATATTGAAGATATTTCATATTTTTTAAACCAATCTAGGTAAAATAAAACGACATTTTATTGCATGCGTATTACTGTGTGAGTGAATCATTAGTAACAATCTCAGGAGAATCTTTTTCTCTAATGGTTGACCTCTGGCTCTGCCTATGGGCCGATTCCCTTCGCGCACTTTATCTCTTAACTAATTATTTCGATTTGGCATCCCATAGGTAAATGAATGTTTGCCTGTATGCTTGCTACATTCCTTTGCTGCCTCCTTGCATCTGAGTGGCCTTAACCGCCCATGTTCTACTGGATAAAAGGAGATGACTAATCACTCACTATAATATTTAATCGTCTGCTGCTCTTTAGATATTTGTGTCAAACACAATAATCATTATGTGTTCACCGTGTATATTTTGGAAACATACAGTGTTTTTCATTTCTTTCTATTACATTGTCCAACAGTCCACAAGCTGTGACCCTTTGCAATGTCACATTATAGATTTGAATGATAGCAATGACATTTAGTGCAAGGCTGCTGAAAATGACACCTCCCATGAATCTTCTCTGCCATATTTTGATGTCTTTTCCTGAGCCCGGTGTGCGCTCAGTCCTTGAGCGGTTTGACTGAACGGCTGGTAGATTAGGTTAATTTAAAAATAAAGACATGCACAGTTAAAATGCCATTGAGGAAGCAAGACAGTGAAAACATGATAGCTAAATGTGGGTGATTAAGTCTTGATCCATGGTTAATGAGCATATTGCAGCGACAACTCTCTGTTAAAGCCTCCTGTCAAAGACAGACTAAGCTCAATTGATCTGGCGTGACATGATTCATTTGCTGCAGGGTCTCTCTTTCCCTCCGTCTCTGATCCATACCTCCACTTACCTCATGAACCGACAAATACCGGCTTCTATCTCTGTGCTCCAGCTTATGCACAGCTCAACACCAGGCTGATAAAACACAACGGTTATCCCTCCAACCTCTATTGATTTAGTATTGTTACCCTTCTCACTCACCCACTTCCTCACAAAGGCGGAGTGGATGCTGTGAGGGAAATCTTAATCACCCCTTGCTAATGCTATCGGTCACTGTGATTTTGGAAGTGAGTAATTATTGTGTGAGGTTGATTGTTTCAGTAGGCAGTAGAGAAATTGGCCACTGCTCCTTTTCCTGCTTTTGTATTGGCCTCGAATTGGTTGTGAGTTCTTTCTAATCTCAGAGGCAACAGACAGTTACTGGCTCGTTACGATAATATAAGGTTGGGAAATAATGTTTTTCACACTTACATGGTGAATGGGTAATGTGAATGTGACAGTACATGCTAGGGCTGTTTCCAAAATTAAAAGCACGCATTGTGAGGCTTACAGAATCTAGGAGTTAGGAGGAGCTAAAAGCACTGCAATTGAAGGCTATTGTAAGGATAGAGAGGGAACACAACTCTCATCATTCAGTACAAGGCTTGAATGGAGAGCAAGGGTAGATTTTAACATGAAATGTACAGTACAGTGAAGACACCCTTCAAGACTACTTTTCTGTTTAACTGAAAGTCCTGACGGTTGACTCAAAATAAGAGGTGGCAAAATGTAATTTCCCATTCATAATAAACTCTGCTGCTTACTATAATATTATAGAATGATTACTGCTTCAAAACTGTAAATTACATCTGACAAGCACCAAAGACACTGGCAGATATCAGGACGCCTTGGCATTACACAGTGACAGGTAATGAATGGCAGGATCGGCGAGCCCGGGCCAATGAGAAATCTAGGTTGGGAATTTGCTGCCTGTTTATTGGCGCTTAATGAAAAACAATTTATCTAAATCACCACCAGGGAGGGTTCCTGGTTAAACCTCTGGAAAGAGAGCTAGCATTTCTGTCAGTGACAAATGTGCTGCTGTTTTTCCAATTCAAATTGAACTGACGAGAGAAAACAGCCATTTGGGCCACGATTGCAGCCACTACCCACAGTTCCACCACACAATCCTTGTAGAGGGATGGATGTAGTTTATGCCAGATAAAACACTTAAGACTAAGATAAAAACATTTAAAGCTGCACCAGTCCATATTCCCATATCAACAATGAAGCAAATGACTAAATGTCATGTGAAAGGGTTTCACTCGTAGTGACATGAAATCACCTCTTTAGCTCATTGTTTTGGTTTTCTGGCCCACTCAGCCGAAAAGCTTTGACACTGTCCTACCACCAAATAGCAGGTTTCAAAGAAGTTATAAGGAAAGTGAATTTGAAGGTACATTCACCAAGTCACCAAAACATTAGCAATGCTTATGTTGCAAACATGTCTACAATGTCATTATTTTGATGTATTGCTCTGAAAAAAATCTGTTAGTTCAGCTTTAACATTGAAAAGACTCTCATTTATCCTGGTCCACATGTTTTTGACCTGATTGGACTTCGTCAAACATTAAACTAAGCCAGTTTATTGGATCTTTTGCGTCTATGTCACAATGGATGAAAGGTACATCTCACTGCAAACTTTGTGGGACGCCATTCAACAGATCAAGACTTACATGCCGATGCAAAAGCGGATCCCATTCAAAGCAGCGTGAGCAGAATTCCCTAACTACTTTGGGAGAACACGTTTATTTATGAGAGCAGCGTGTCGGACCTAATGAGAAACAATGTGCAGCAATTTGTCGCTCGGCTTCAGCAACTAGAGAAAAACAACTTCTACCTGATGGACAACGTTGGTGATTTGGAGACGTGGAGCCTAATCTCCACTTCATTGGAGTTCAAGAGTTCGCTGAGGGATCCTGACTGATCCCACAGCTCCGGATGAAACAACTTCCCTGCTCCACCAATCCTTGAGAGAGCCCATTGTTAGTTTTTGCTCCCTGAATGGATGATGTTAAATAATTAAACAAAATTTCATTTGAATATTGGGAGCCTAATACTGACGTACTCCATGCATGGGTTGTACTACATAAGCCTAACATTAATTACTTTCTTTGAAACATGGCTCAACAGTTACATCTCAGATAATAAAATAAATCTCTTTTATATAGATGTGATACATGCTCCAGGGGTTGAGGTGTCGCTATATATGTTTCCTCTGATATCGTATCTGAGTTAATCATACCCACAGGTGGGCCTCTGCATTTTGAATGTGTCTTAGTTAAGGTAATTTTTCATGCAAATAAATGTATGTAACTCTTGGTAGCGTATATAGGCCACCCTCTTTGCCAGCAGAAACCTTTAATTGCCTGCTCTCCACCATCAATTCCATTCCCTGAAGAAACAAGATAATTTTGCCAGGTGATTTACAAAAAAACTGGTTAGATAAGTCATCTGATAAAGAAAGAAATATAATTAGTATTCTAAGTTCTACACAACTAATTAATGAGCCTTCTCGAATCACACCTAGAACCCAGTCTCTGCTTGACTGGATACTCGTTTCACACCCAGATAGAATCTTAAGGGCAGGTGTTCTGTCTGGCTGCTTTAGTGATCACTCAATTGTCTACTGTGCATGGAAAACAAAACTATCTACATCACCACCAAGACTAATCAAAATCAGACAATACAAGAACTTGAATTCAGATAAATGTATTAATGATTTCATTGCTATTAATTGAGACAGGTACCAACTAATACAGTACCTAATGTACAAGATGCCTGGGATTTTCTGTACACTGAGTTCATTGATGTTGAAGACAGACATGCTCCTTGGAAAACTGCTATGGTCAAGGGTAAACATCTCCCTTGGATCAGCCCTGAACTTATTACTCTCTTTAGGCAGGGGGACAATGCATGGTCAGTATTCAGTGAGACAAGGGCTAATGCTGATTGGGAAGTAAACAGCCAGCTGAGAAATATGAGCAAGACAACAACCTGTAATTCAAAACTCTAACTACTATAAGAAATGTCTCACTTGTGATTTTAAGAACCCTTAACTGGAACAAAATTAGACCCATTATTAATACATCAGATAAACATTCTATTAATTATTAAGAGTTGCTAATGCAAAACATGACTCTTTATCTATTGCCAAGCATTCAATAGAGATTTCCCCTCTGTCTGTTCTATCTTATTACCTGACTGACCTGGCTACTGTTTTTCTTTAGTAATACAGTGAAGCTGGACTTGATGGTTTAGAAAACAGGTGTATTAAACTAGCTTCCCATATTCTAATGTATCCACTTGCTGATTTACTTAATCTCTCCTTAATTACATGTGAGTTACCAGCTGTCTGGAAATGTGCATGCATCACTCCATTGTGTACAGGAGACAATGTACTACAATCCATATCCATTTAATGTTCCATCTCTAACGTGTTCGAAAAATTACTTTATAAACACCTTCCATATTATCTCAGTGCAAACAATATCTTATCACCATTTCAATCTGGCTTCAGGTCTAACCACTCCACAACTACTGCCCTACTTAAATTCACCAATAATGTGTTCTCTGCTGCAGATAATAGTGAACTCACAGGTGCAATCTTTATTGATTTGATTAAAGATTTCGATCGCCATCTACTTTTAGATAAACTCCATGCTAAAGGCGATTCTGAAAATGCAGTTCTGTGGTTCAATTCATACCTTCACAATAGAAAACAATGTGTCGTCCTGGGAATAAATCTGATGTGTTCAACAAAACAAAGTCTTATCTTGTGATTTTTGGTACCATACAAAAACTCAAATCCAAACTTGGTTGTTGTGTACCTGTAACCTGTACTGATGGCCCTCCTCTGCATATAGTTGATAAAATTAAATATCTTGTTGCACGGCTTGATTCATAGGAATCAATGCAAATCAACATGCTTTACACTGAATGTTCATAAGAAACTTGCCTCTCAACTTATTACGCCTTATTTTTGACTATTGTGATGTAAAATCAGACCATGTCTGGCTTAACACAGCATATAACAGACTGCAGATTTGTCCTTGGACGTCCTTTTATCACTCACCACTTGTATGACACACTTAAATCTTGACCATCTCTAAATATAGACACACTCAATGGCTTCAACTTATATCTAAAGTCTATTCATTTTAATTATCCCCTCTGCTCAGCTGTATTTCTCTGTCCCTCATGCTAAGATAACAAGTGGCAATGTAACCAATTGTAAATATATAATGTATTATTTGTTTTGTGTGTGTATGTGTGTCTGTGTGTGTTTCCAAATTGACGTCTGTATTTCTGTTTTTTGATTTTGTCATTCCTCTGTTGTTATGTAATGACAGGACCCCCTTGATAACGGGATGATGCACCTCAAGGGGTTTATCCTAATAAAAATTTGAATATATTAAGCAGTATGTACAGTTTGAATGAACACCACTATTGATTTGAGTGTAATCAGGAAAATCCCTGATGTAACTATTTAGACTATAGAATCGCAAAATATCCAGTTAAATGTACTGGTAATGAATTATTCAACGTTTGAAATTTTACCAAGAATACATGTATTCAATAGCATAGTCAGAGTTAAAGGAATACCATTTTCTTAAAATATATTAGGCACCTATTCAAACACTTCTTCTTTAGTCAAGGAGGAATTCCTGTGACCATTTTATCTGCTTCCACAAAGTCTCTAAATGTCATTAGCAGAAAGAAATGTGCATTGTGGAATTCCTGTTCTTATTGAATTCTGTAATAACTGTGATAGCTCTGGCAGAAATATTCCAAGCATGAAATTAGGGCTTCTGCCACAGTGGCACTGTTAAATTTGAAATTAGAATTTTATTGGAAGGAGAAATGCTAAGAAATTACATGCTAAAGGACTCGCTGATAAAGAAAATAACATACTGTGTATGCAGATTCATGCATGGCTGCTTAATCCCTTGTTTGTACAGCTTTCAATTGTAACTAGACTATAAACTCCATCACCCTTCTGTTATGTTTAGTGTCCTGCTTGTCTGTTTTGTTTTATACACGATGTCACCTCTTATTGCTGCCGACAACCTTGATCTTATTTTAGAGAGAGATGTAAAAACTCCAAGTCTTCACCTCAGAGTGCACAGGAATAGCCACAGAGCCATCGCAAGAGAAGCGCAAGAATCGCACTCATGAAATTAAGTTAGAAATATAGAGGAGTTGTTTGCCAAGCAGAAGCTTGACATGTGCCAAAAGCCAGGCATTTTCTGCTGACACTGCTCCTCTAACATCCCTCCTCTACCTCCTCTCATCTCCCTATCTTTCCACCTCTTTTCAAACTTTCTCATGAAATCCTTTCTCCTCCCATCTTCAAAAACTCGTACTTCCTCCCTCACATGTGCGCACCCCCCCCCCCCCCTCCCCCTCTCTCGTCTCCCGGCTCTCAGATTATGGTGTTGACAGATCCGGAGTTTGAGAGCAGCGTCCTCATCAGCTCTGATGAGGGAGCCAGTTACCAGAAGTATCGCCTCACTTTCTACATCCTGAGCCTTTTATTCCACCCCACTGAAGAGGACTGGGCCTTAGCCTACAGTCACGACCAGAAGGTGAGATAGTGCTTGATGTCATATCTCTTTACTCTCCTTATAATTCTTTGACAGTTGTTGTTTTTTATAAAGATGAATACGTGCGGGGCAGAGACCAAATAACCAAATGTTAAAACAGTCTCAAAAAGGGGTTTGCCAATATTTAAACACTTTTTTACGTTAATAAGGTAGATGGTGAAGTCACTGAACACTGACTGTCACAAACCTGCTTGTTGCTTGAGTTTGAGAGTTTTACCATCCTCAGCTGCACTGGGAGGCCCGTTTATCTTTCACCACAAAGACTAAGTATACGTTTGAACATGGTTAGAAATGGCAGATTACATGTAAGCTAAATAATACAACTGTGACACACGAGTCCATTTGCATAGTTTATTATGAAACCCAAATACCTCTCCACTTGTTCTCTCTCCACTTGTCTGTGTCAGAGTCAATTCAAGCTGATTTGTGGAGGGGGGGTGAAGGGCTGAACCAAGTGTAGTTAGTTGAAGTAGAAGAAAAGATCAAAATTATGGTTGGTAATTTTATTTCTGTACATGAATAACACACTGCATGTATTGGGTGAGATTTAATGTCATTGAAATATATATTTCATCAATAAAGATTACAATAAAAAAAATTCCCAATAGCATGCAGCTCTATTATGATGTGTCTCACAATCCATGCAATGCTGGTCCAAGCACTAATCACGTTCTTGCACATCAGAAACTCTTATTTGGCAGAAGCATTGGATAATATCATGGAAGTTTCTTGGGAAGAACTGCATAAGACCCGGCTTTTACAGGATCTGAGTTAGTGCTTTCATTTCAGAAGTAATGGCTAGCAAAAAAACACATCAGTCACTTAAATAGATTCTTCACTATAGTGACCTTCACCTGTCTTTGTCGCACAGTATGGAGCTCTTCTGCTCACCATCTTCACACGGTGCTCTTAAGATTGTACCCGACAAAGGTTCACCATTTAGGTCAATGACTCTGACCGGAGAGCCAAAGCCATCGCCCTGCAGGAGGGAGATGGTGCAGGAGGGTGATGATTGGTGAACAGTGGTGGCTGTATCAAACCTGTCACCGGTAAAGCTTTGAAAAGGTTGTCACTGCATGAGCCAGTGTCAGGCTTTTTCTTGGCAGAGCGGATTTACATCATGTAAGATGGAATCCTGCATTGACAGGTGAACAATTACAAATCTAAACAAAACATCATATAAGTAGAATCACACAGACATGCAGAACTAAACCTGTAGACTGTTTACCATTTACTTAGCCAATCCTTTTAATTAAATGTTTTATAATTTGTGGATGCCATCACCTCTTGTTAATCGGGTAGCATTACTACTACATTACTACAAAATCATTTCCTCCTCCGTCTCACATCTATACATTAACGATTTGGTCACAGAAAGCCAAAAAAGTCTCGAGGATCATAACTTTAATCTGAGCTCGTCTACTTTGCTCCAGCATTAAAACTCAGCATGACGTTTCTGCTGCTGCTATTTCAGAATGCAAGAGCAGCTATTAAGATGAACAAGGTAGCCAGGTTCAGGAGATTCAAATCCCTGTGAAGTTTGGGTAAGAGTGTAGTTGAAAGAGAGGTGCCGTCTGCCTTCAGCCAAAGTTCTCGGCAAACCATAAAATTATTCTGATGGATTGCAAGGAGTAAAAACTACTCATCTGTCACAGTCGTTACATTACAGTCTTTCCTAATGTTAATTAAAAACAGCTCTTAGCAGCTTATATTATCTATAAAAATTACATCGTATACCAAATACGAGGTGCGCCTGGCCCATGACATAAACTCTCAAGATCAATAATGGCAACAGCTATTGATCTCACTGATTAAATGCATCTCAGTCATGAAGGCGGGATATGCATCAAGTAGCAGAGTAGAAAGTTCAAGAAGATGGAGGCTGCTGAGACGGGAATTTGGCAACTCAACATTAACAAAGCAGCCAGGGTCAGTGTGTGCATTGAAGATTCCAGGTAATATGAGGATATGACTAATGTGGCTATAATTTGCATCATCACCAGGACACCTTGGCAGCCAAAGCAAAAGGCTCAGGCATGATTACCACCTCTGCTAGACCCATTTTCATTCCTCTCCTGAATGTGTCATCCACATAGTGCAACCACCTACACAGGGCTGCTTTTTTTCCAATAAAGAACATGTTTTTCATCTAGATACTTAAAAGAGGTTTACACAGATATTGGTTGCTTAATTCAGCCTGATTTCCCTTGCAGCCTCGACACTTCATTTTGACCGTTGAGCCAGCAGCGAGAAAGTTTAATATGCTCATTTTCAGCTTGTAACGGCTAATAGTTTTCAGACTGGGTCACTCTGCATTTAATCAGTTGTAAGTTGGTGCTTAGCCGTGGTTAAGTGCAACCCTCAGGACTTAACTTCGAGGCAGGAGTGAAACTCCTTAGCGAGACATCAGAGTCCATGTCAGGATGTATAAGCTGGAATGAAGTATTTGTTGTAATTCTTGATTCTCTTTTATGACTTTAAAAAAATTACATTCGGGTCAGTCCCCTCCTCGAGTAAATGGAGGTATTTTTAGATTTAGCACTCTTATTGACCTTTCCAGGCTCTTATCGCTAGACTGTGAGGGGTTTGTGGAGACAATTACTCATTGATGTATTCCCAAGTTGGCTTCTGAGAATAAGGCCAGTGTTGCTGCTGCCAAGTGAGTGAGTTATGTAAACAGCCTGACACAGGAGAACAGTAGAGGGGAGAAGCTCCACACATAGAATAAATCGGAGTTGTCTTATTGTATTCCCTGTGAACCGTCTGAGCTCTCGGTAGACTGGGTGTTACGGCATCATGCCCAAAATTTTTTTCTTCTTAAGCTGAAACAAGTACAGGGTGTTTCCTAATTTCCTCTCTTTTACATGAGAGTCCTTCCTGCCCTGACGTGAAAACTACAATATTTCTGATGATGTGTTGGCAGATATGGCAGATATTTAGTAGCATTCGAGTGATACTGCAAAAAAATAAAATACATTTCTTCAATAGGAATAAAGACAATAAATATTTCCCTTTGTGTCACTTGCAGTGGAACCGTAGTCATTTGTAAACAGTAGGTTTCTATCGCAGCAATAAATATTACCATACAGCTGCTTACGCCTCAGCAAACTTGAGAGACAAGGCTGTGACTCTCTAATGGACTGCGTAGTGATTAACTCATCCAATAATTGCATCTGAGACAGAGCTGTACACTGTAATCAAACATTGTTTGCAATTAGCTGTTTCCTTATGTGAATATCTGACCCATGACAGAATGAAATATTTTCTAGCAACTATTTGTCATGAATCATTATTATCTTTATTACTATCATTATGATCCCCACTATTCCTTGGGATGCTATTAAAGACAGCGTTTCAGTATTGCACTTCCGGAAAGTTGTAAGAGACAGATTAAGAGAGAAATGATCAGAATTGGTGAAGCAGTCTCTGAGATAGCCTGACTTTTAGTTCCTAATGAGGGTCAAACGCCAAAAATACTGCCCATAATGCAACTTCATAGCATCTTCAGCCACCTGTCCTGCCCTTAAATAGGCAGAACTTTCATCCTTAATATCATTTAAATGGGTAAGTTTTATAAAAATTCACTCCTGTGCAGTTGTCATTAGGGGGAAATTAGCTATGGAGACAAAAAAACGTTTTCGTACAAGGCTGTAAACATGTTTAATTCTGCTGTAACGTTGGGCGTTTTCACATGGGGGTTTATGGGGATTGACTTCAGTTTTTGGCACTTTCAGGTTGGCTTCATTTTTCAGCCCCGGAGTTTGCCACTTGGTAGAGCATCAATCCCTTTTTCAAATGTGTGAAAATGAAATGCATTGCAGTGCATGAAAATATGAAATACACTATTACTGCCCCCCTCCCCTCTCTAGTTATAGTTTTATAAGTGTGGTTACAGGTTATGTGTGCTTAGGCTCTTCAAGGAGGCTGAGCAGTTTGGAAAATAGGTTACAGAAGACTGGCATTTGACCAGCATCTATTCTCATTCTGCTTCCTATGCATTTTTTTTGAAAATATAGATTTTACCATGTTGGAAGGTTTCTTTCCTCTGTGGCTTTATTATCTATGTTCTCTAAATTATTTTGCATTGTGGAGTCTTTTTTTGTGAATGTATGCCCCTTAAAGGAGACCGATTATGCTTTTCCATATTTAATACAATCAACATATCTACATTGTTACAATGTTGGATGTTCATGTTAGACATGCCTAAAGCTTCTAATAATGAGGTAAAAGTATTTAGAAGAAATCCCTGTGAGCAAAAAAGTCAGATTTCCTTCTCTTCTGAAAACTCTGTTTTCAACAGCTTTTTCTACCAAGGGCTCCGAATGACGACACACGGAGCCCGACGGAGCCGGTTTTCCATAAATGGTCATTTACTCTGTACCGCTCAGCGACAACAACAGCCTGGTAACATACTTCAGGTCTTGGCCAATCAGAAGACAGTTGGCTTTGAGGGGGGGGGAGCTTAAAGAGACAGGAGCATCTACAGCTTGTTTCAGACAGGGGCTGAAATGAAGGCCCACATGAAGGGCCAGTATAAGACAGAAAATTATTTTTTTTTACTTTGAATCATGCAAAGCTGCCATACAAGAGTCACAGAACTACAATATAGGACTGGAAAAGCAGTATAATAGGAAGCAGAGAAGATGCAACTATTTTTCATGAAAAGTGGCAGCAGTATAGAAGTGAGTGTCATTTTCAATAACCATAACAGCACAAATCTTTGAATAGATACACGGTACTTACCCTAATACAAATTGGGAGATTACTGAGCTACAAAAACTCATTTAGTGAAGTTTTAAAATAATCCCCCCAAAAGTCTTTGAATATATAGGCTATGTCAAATTGCATTTGCAGTTTTTTTAGTGATTATGTTTGATGTGTAAAACTATTTGAATGCACCTTTAAAGCCAGTCTACAATGTACTGTAGATGCAGATTACAGCCATATCATATACATAGCATTTTAAATCATTTGGTTTCAGC